GCCGCCGCCGCTGCCGCCGCCGCCGCCGCCGGGCTCCTCTACCGCATCCTCCGGGCCGGCGCCGCCGCCGTCTCCGTCTCCGTCTCACACGCACAAAATGGCGGCGGCGGCTCGCGGGCTCCTTCTTCCTCCAACCGTTGCGTCATGTGAAATTGTTCTAAGGGAGGGGGCGGGCGCTTGGGAACCCCCTTTTGTTCCCTGCCCGCCTCCTCATTGGCCCGCGCCGCGGCCCGGCCGCTCCCCATTGGCTCCTTGGGACCGGAGGGGTTGCTTTCCGCCCACCCCTGTTGGCTCCGGCCAGAACGCCACTGCCGTACTCAGTGACTATTGGCCGGTTCATCTCCGCCCCGGCCTCTGATTGGCGAGGGCGTGTAGTCCCGCCGCTCTTTACTGGCCCGCGTCTTGATTGGCTCCGCTGGGCCATCTCGCCCGCCTTCGAAGTTGTCCGGCGCTATTGGCTCCTGCGCGTGGCTCCGCCCACTCCCTCCCCTCCCTTCAGCCGCTGCCTCCAGGGCCTATTGGCCGGCTGTTACCGTGGCAATCCCTGCTGTTCCGAGGCCTACTGTCACCCCTCCCTTCAGTCTGTCTGGCTCCAGCCAGGGCGGGGCCACGTGCCAAGTACAATCCCGGACCTCAGTTATATCAAGCGGGGATATAAGCTTCTGAGCGCCCCCATGCTGCCCTAATGCAGACAGTGTGCCAGGGCTTTGCATCGCCACCAGCATTTGTCCCAGGACAAATTACACCCGAGTTCACTTCCAACTGGGAAATTGCAAAAATTAAATTGTGTGCATATGTATTTTTGTAATTTTTTTTTTTTTTTTTTTGCAATTGCCCAACTGGGAAATTGCAATATATCTATATCTATTTATTTATTTTTGCAATTTCCCAGCTGGTCTAATAAAAGGTATCCTTTTGAAACCAAGAGTTCAATATTTTTGCATACAGGCAACCCCTGCTTAGCGCTCTTGACTCCTGAAAACCCGGCGTTAAGCAAAACCAAAAGTATCTGATGACCCAAGATGGTGACCGCAAGTGTTTTTATGGACCTGCGATGGCGACCGTGAGCGTTGCAAAGAAACTCACTGAGCACTACGTGGAATCGGGTCTCTGTTTTCAATGAGCGTTATTGCAAAATAGCACTAAGCAAAACAGTGTTCAGCAGGGGTTGCCTGCATCTCCATCCAAAGCATGTTAGCGCTTTAAATCACGTCCCTCTCCTATCCCATTTTCTTTCCAAATGTTTCTATTTATGTTTACTGAATAGAGTTCCTTTGAATAAGAGCAATTTGTGGATGTTTCAACGCAACTCACACCACAAAACACTTCATCCAGAGAACATTTTTACTTTTTAATGGCCTGAAATTTAATACAAAGTTCCCAAAGAAGCAACCCTTGGCAAATCTGTAGTAAATGCCACCACTGATGCTGCCCAGGGTGTATTTATGGGATTAAAAAGGAATGATTTCACTTTCAGATCTAAAATTTGGCACCTTTTTCTCATGAACCTATGCTTTTTGTAAAAGGTGCATCAACAGAATGGTTTTTTCCCCCCTGTTGAAATACTATTAATAGGCATTCATTACAAAATACTGCGCTGTGAACCTACAGCCTCCTTCTTGTGATGGATTGTCCCAAGATGAAAAAAAGGAAACCATGCTATCTGGTTCATGCAGACTGACACATGCCAGGGTTGTCCCTTGACGGGGTGAATTGGGGCAATTGCCCCAGGCCCCGTGCTTTGGGGTCACCCACGGACAGTGCCGTACCCACTCTGCACGGCAACCGCATGCCACCGGCTTCCCGCGCCAGCCACTCGCCACCCCCCCCCGCCATCTCCCTCACAGGCTCATATGCCCCGGGCCCCACAGACCCCTAGGGTCGGTTCTGACACGCAGCCCCGTGACTGACCAACACAAGGCCCTGACACTTGACAAAACACAACTGTGATGCCAGAAACCCCTGGTGTGGGCACAGTTACATTGGCAAATTGAGCACAGAGGTGTTCAGTTCAGCCACATTAGATAGACCAAAGCAAGGACAAAGGTAGGTCAAGGTGGCACCTTCATAGAAACTAACTGGTTCAGAAACACGCCCTGTGGTAGGCAACAGCCTACTTATCAAATGCTATGAAAGGACTGGTAGGGAAAGGGACTCTGCCAAGAAAAGGTTGATAATATAATAAATAGGTTGATTAGATCAAAAGAGACTAACAGAGGAGTTAAGAGCTGCAGTGACACCTCTTAGCAGCATCCTCTCCACCTTTCCCATTCCCATCTGAACCATTTTTTCTCTAAGGGTAAAAATCAGCTTGATTCCCATTTGAGGGTTTTGCCTTTCAGAAAACCCCAGACTTTATAGACTTACAAACCTATTGTTCCACATTAATTACCTGCGAATTTGAATTAACGCTTTGCCTCATGGCTAATTCAATTTCATTGCCATTTAATCCTAGCGTGCAAGCTCCTGTGCCGCATCTCTTTTGTAGGGCATCAGATATCCACTTCCAGATCTGTGAGCCATCGTCTGGTATTATCATTCAATGTGTGGACTCCATCTGCGCCGTCTGGGCATTTATAAAGATTACACCAAGTAAAGAGTTGTAGACGAGTCCCTTGATGGCGAAGAAGGCCGATCCTAGAGCCACAGACTCTCTGGGAGATGCGACAGGTAGTGGTTAAAAGGGAGGACTGCACCATGGATTTCTCAATCTTCTTTCCTTTGCATCATTTTTCTGCCTCCAAGGCAAGACAGTTTTCCTCAAAGTAAGATGTACCTTCTCACACAAGGCATTGCCATATAGTCTCGTCTTGGGCTAGTTTTTCCCCAGTTTGCAGTGTCAATGCCACACTTCTTAATATTTGCCTTGAGGGTGTCCTTGAAGCATTTCCTTTGCTCCCCCCCTTCCACATGTCCTTTGGCTTTGGCCGAGTTGGGAGATAGCAGTTGTTTTGGTAAATGTACATCAGGCATGCGCACACAATGCCCTGCCCACCGCAGCTGATGTTTAATAATCAACACTTCCAGGCTGGTGGTGTTGGCATCGGCAAACACGCCGGTATTTGTTCGATGATCCTCTTACTTTATGCCAAGGATCTTCTGGAGGTAGCACTGGTGAAAGCAGTCCAGGCTTTTCTGGTAGTCCCTATAGGTTCCCCAAGCTTCACACCTGTAGAGAAGAGTTGGGGTTACCACAGCTGTGTATAATGGGAGCTTTGTTCAAGTCCTAATGTCATCACCATTGAACGCACAATGATGCAGTCTTCTGAAGGCAGAGCTGGCACATCGGATGCTATACTGGATCTCCTGGTTGGCCTTCTTTGAGAGATGGCTGCCAAGGTACGCAACGTGTTTAACATTCTCCAGTGTCGGTCAATGAGGATCTTTGCCAGGGGAGTTAATTGGCCTGGAGCAAGCTGGTGAAGCACCTTTGTTTTTCTGAGGTTAAGGGTCAGTCTCAGGCACTGGTATGCTTGAGAGAAGCAGTTAAGGACCATTTTCAGGTCCTCCTTAGTATGGGCAACAACAGCACAATCAGCAGCTGCCTCCATGCCAAAACCAAAGTTACATCCGCCTTGACTGTATAAAGATTACGGCTTTTGATTAAATGTTGTGCTGCTTGTTGGACACCACATTCACAGAGGGGGCTGTTCAAGATGTTCATATTGTTTTGAAGCCTCCGTATCCAGATCTTCGTCTGTTCTTCTTAACACATGCTTCTATGTCAAGGTCATGCCCAATGGGTGGCTCATTTGATGTTGCTACAAAATGCTGTAGGAATAGGTCTGATCTTTCCCAGCGGTTGGCCCATTTCATTGCTGCCCACAGGCTTGGTTCAACATCCCCATTCTCTTCCAGGAGCTGTGGGCTTCATGTATAAATGATTTACAGCTTAATCTTAAGCCTCCATCTATTTGGGCCTTCAGTTAACAGTTGATGGAGAAGGTGATTTTCATTTGTAATGATAAGAGGGTCTGTCTCTTCTTCTATCA